CACTTCAACCACTTCAATTACAGTATAGTTTTTTTAATATCTTTAAGATCTTTTGGGCTTCCACAAATAATAGAGTCTTACAGCACTCTTTCAACGCTTGATGGACGGTCACTCAGCAATAAAAGTCTGCGTTTTCTCTTGTCGTCATAAACCAAGAAAATAACAACCCAAAATAAATGATGAATGCTATAAACTTGACATGTTTTAAATAACCGTATGATAACTATGACTTTAATAGCGTAGGATATTTTAGATCGTTACGCTGTTTTGTTTTCGCCAAGCTGATGTGAGAGAAATCTGTTAGCCAATCAGATTCGAGAAACATTTGCAAAACTGAGCTGTCACTTTTCCTCTTGAAATAGAGGTTTATTGCGATGGTGAAAAAGATTTTTCTTTTTTGCTGTTCAATTTTCACAGCCTTCACAACAACTTTCAGATCAGCTGGGGAGGACAGGGCAGAAAAACGATAAGCCCGCCACTTTCACGATTTTTTTTATTTAACTGAGTTTAATACTCCAAATTTTTAAGCGTTTCATTTGTGTCACTGCTGCTCGAAACTTGTGACGAAATTTTGTCGAATTATTAAAGTAAATCTCCTTAGTATTCTCGAAAATGTCAGTTTTTTCTGCTGATCAAAATATAACCTCTCCCAAAGTACACGGCTTTAAATCTCAAATACGCATTCAATAAATTTTGGTCGCATTTGATATTTTGCTATTTGGCTCCAAAAGAACGTGTTTACAAAATATTGAGCTTAAATACGTAAAGCTTTCCCTATGGCGAAAGACCAAAACCGTTTTCTGCCCTGTCGCTGGCGAGTTGTGCAAATTTTCTTTTCTTTATGTACTGTCCTAACTTAACACTTTGTCTAAACTAACATTACGAGTTTCAAAAGTCATAGAAGTGAACAGTAGAATTTTAACCAAATCAAACATTTTAGTGTAATTGTACATGTTTGTAAATTCGATTTACAGTCAATTCAAAAAACGTTGTCGTCGACCGGCTCAAGCCTACGCGACTGGACCGAAAGGAATATGGGTAAAAATCAATGAAGCGGTTAAATATTCGTTCTGTATTAATTGTTCCCCGCTAGTAATAAGATAATAATGGCGAGAAACAATCCATCAAATGCATGTCTTCGGGTTTAGGGAAAGAAAAACAAAGTAGTTATGATTCAGTTCACAATTCCGAAAATATTGCATTAAAAAAACGTCTCCTTCAACACTTCCCGCTCGCCTACGAAGGTTCGTGCTGTAAACTAGGCATAACTAGTCAGATAAAATTATGCAGTCAACTCGGCTGTAATGATTGTTACCAAGAGTTCCTTTCTGTCCAGTTGCGTAGGCTTGAATTGGTCTACGACAACATTTTTTGAATTGACTGTAGACATAATTGAACTGCTGGTCACTGGCTTAGAATTTTAGAAACATTTTAACAGACGCCAGAAAATGTTTCAAAAGAGACAAGCAATTGAAGTATTATTATGAATCCTGACAATTATGGTATTTTTTTCGATTTATACATGTCTAAACTGAGTTTGTTTTCATGAATTTTTTTCTTTGAAATTTGGCCGCCATCTTGGTTGGCATTAGATATAAACCTGCGAGTTTTCGCCGTACATTTACACTAAAAAATAGGAAACATTTTCGCCCACAGCTTGTTTAAAGTGCCTATGTCACTATATTTTCAGCATTGATTCTACATGAAGTGAATAGTTGAATGGTAAAATATTTTTAATATGATTTGAGTGATAAATCTTAGAGATATCAAGGTTTATACTTCAAATATGCTAATGATGTGACGTCAAAGGATATCTTCAAGATGCATTACTCTAATCATGTAAAATATTTTATCATTTAACTATTTACTTCATGTAGAATCAATGCTGAAAATATTKATTCAGGTGTTATAGGCACTTTGAAAAATGCTCTAATACTCCTTTTTTTGCTCAGAAATGTATTATTGGTAGTCATATCAAGTTTTGCTCCATACATTAGTGTCAAAGTTGGAGTTGAGAAAGGTCACTCCATATCTGGAATCATATAATTCCATATTTGGATTGCGGTTCTTTACCCTGAGGTCAAAGATGGCGGATAAGCATTTTCGTCGGCTAGCGAAACGGCTGAGAGACATTTGCGAGCTTGGCGAAGACGAAAAACAAGAAAAAACTACAAAAAATACGAAAAAAACAAGCTTCTCCCCAGTCTCTTTTTTTAAGACCGGGAAAGAGAGCTTTGACACTCATTGTTTGATATGTTAACATTGTCATAAGGATTGCTTTTTGATTGGCATAGAAAGCYATTCTGTCACCAGTAAATGACATGTGATTGAAAACGCTCTATAGTACTCATGCAGTATCTTCAAACTCATCGCTAAATAAATCATAAGTACAGTTTTATGTCTTCATTGAGTCCTTGTGAGGTAATTTGTATAGGAAATCGCACGATCTCGAGTGATGTTTTGAATGTTTTCAAAATTGGACGAGCCTTTAGGCGAGTCCAATTTGAGAACTTTCAAAACATCACGAGTATCTATAAATTCAGAATTATACGAGAAGATTGTGCCATTTTTTGTTTATAATACACTCAAAAAAATTGAGCAACTTAATTGGTACTCTACAGAATACAATTTGGGATTTAATTGTACTCCTCTTGTTCAATCAGAATGGAGTAATTTTGTTGAGTCTATTATAAATTCCGAAAAAAAGTTAAATTTAATTTTTAAGAGCAAAGTCACCAAGTTGATGTATATAGTGCTGTAACTTTAAATTTAGCCTCTCCTCTTCTCACAGCCCACACACCGGACTAAACTTTTCAGTTATACAATAGTACTCTTGAGTCTACTTCGATGTTTATACTTTGCTGTTCACGCAATAATTCGGTTCTTGCAGGGGTTATTTGTTCATTCCGTGAAGACATTGTGATGATGATGCCTTCAGAAGAAATGGCAAAATGACTGATGGTGAGATAAGAAGAAAAAACGTGCACGAGGGAATAAATGATTGGCACAAAAAAATAACATTATTAGTTTTTTTTCCTGTGAAAATATCTTTCTCTCATTTTCGTTATGCGTTCCATTTTCTCTCTTTTTGTATTTCTCTCTTTGTTTTCACTTCCTCCTTTGCTTGCTTTGTTACTTTATTGTTTCCTTGCTTTGTTTTTTTGCTTTCTTGTTTGATTCCTTCCTGCTTCATTCCTTCAGCTTCATTCTTTGCTTCCGTCCTTCCTTGCTTGCTTGCTTGCTTCTTTTTTCCTTCTTTCCTTCCTTCCTTTTGTTTTTGTTTCAATCCTGAAACAACTTATGTGCTGATCTAAGTTAGGGCACCCCAGAGATCGAACTCTTGAACAACCTCTGGGCTGATCTAAGTCAGTGCAATGATCTCAAAGATCGAATTTCAATTGAAATTGCTGAGTTTGGAGAAAAACCAGAGACATACCCGGATAAAATCCCTCGCATCAAGAGAGACACCGAACAAACTCCTCTCACATGTGAAGCCGAGTAAGGAGACAAGTTACATTTGCCTCGTAGCAGGAGTAACATAACCTAATATCGATTTCGTTGCATCTCGCAAGTCTCTCATTCGCCAAAGATAAAAAATAGGGCTCGCTGTCGAACTGAACGACAGAAAAAAACCTATGTACTGAAAGACAGCCACGCTGTTTTCGATGGTCGTTGAAGCAGTTACAATGCTTAAGATTACCATTGGAATATAAGTCAGTAGATTGAGCGCGAGAATCATGAGAACGGTTTCTACAGAGCGTTTGTATTTGGTGATATTGTTGTAGGAATTGGTTGGCAGTCTTGTAGTTTGTGACACACTTGTTGACATCTTTTTAAGGTGATAAAAAGATGATAAATTCGAGAATGCAGTGACTAGCAGAAAGAGGAAAGACACTGCGAACAACAAGCCGAATTTATCTTTTCCTGGGAGAAAATGAAGGCCAGTTATCGTAGCAAGGGTCGCGAAAATCCACAGAAAAATCACCAGGCTTAAGGTTCTTTTCCTTGTGACTAAAGTCGCGTATCTCGTTTTGGTGGTAATGGCCAGGTATCTATCGAAGCTCATTGCTGTTAAAGTCACGAAGGCTGTCATCCCCATAGAGTATCCTATTCGAGTCATCATCACCCAAGAGATGCAAAATGCTTCAGGCCAGTTGTTGAAGGCTGAGAGATAAAAAGTCATCGTAACTGGTTGAGCAATGAGTCCAATGCAAAGATCTGTCAAGGATAATGAACATAACAGAATCCTCGAAGGCGTTTGTAGCGAGGAAGTCTTACAGATTGTGACCAAGACAAGGAGATTGAGAAACGTTGCTGATAACGATGTTACAGCGTGAAAAGCAACTAGCGGAGATAATATCTTGGGATCATACTGGCTCATATTGTAGGCCATTTGGTTGCATATTCCCATCATTGCCATTTTCAAGACTGTTCAGCTTTGAAACTACGAATTAGTTTCGGAATTTCAGCTTTGAGATTCGTCTTTGATCTCACACACATCTGTCGTTCAGTGTCATACTGATATATTACTGAAGCCAAGAAGGTGACGTACGTAGCTGTCAATAAAATAAGTGTCATTTATGATGATGTAAAAACAATCCTGAAAGGACTATACCATAGCCTATTAACATGTACTGATGAAATCACGTTTTCCTTTATTTCCTTTGTTTCTCTCTATATCTCCCTCCCTCCTAGCTTTCTCCATTCTTCCCTTCTTACATTCACTCATTCCTACCTTTCCTTTTTCTATCTTTCTGTCTCTCTCTCATTCTTCCTTCCTTCCTTCCTTCTTGATGTTGGGGGAGGGAGGGAGAAAGGAAGGAAGTCCGAAAAAGACAAAAAAAAAAAAAAAAAAGGAAAGATAAAAATACAAAAGAGAGAGAAAGAGAGAAAGAAAATGACGCATGAAAAATACGAGAGAAAGATATTTTCACTGAAAAACTCTTAAATATTATTTTCGTTGTACATCATATATGTCATTCACTTCCTAATGCAAKATTTACTTTTCTCACCATCAGTCATTTTGACATTCCTTCTGAAAGCATCATCATCACAATGTCTTCACGGAACGAAAAATAAAACCCTCAGAACCGAATTATCTCGTGAACAGCAAAGTATAAACATCGAAGTAGACTCAAGAGTGCTATTGTATAACTAAAAAGTTTAGTCCGGTGTGTGGGCTGTGAGAAGAGGAGAAGCTAAACGTAACGTGTTCTTGAAATAAGATACAGCACAAGCACTGAATGCAGTAAAGTATGAAATTTTGAAAAGAGCTGGTGAAATAACTTATGATCCATATAGCGCCCTCTCGAGATGGATAGAATCAAAGTCGCTACCGTTTACAATGAGAGTGGTCACTTCGACGTTGTTTGTGACGTCCACGGCGTTTCTTAGAGTACAAAATCGCAAAACGTTTTTATGTTAATTGCTTTTCAAACAATTCCATTACATCCATCCATCCATCCATTTTTTTCCTTCCTTCCTTCTTTCCTTCCGTTATTTCTTTCCTTTCTCTTTATTTCTTTTTTTCCTTTCTTTCTATTTTCTACCTTTCTTTCGGCTACTTTTTGACGCATTAATTCTATAGCTTTTGTTATTTCCGTGACTTTACAATCGAATGACGTAATGAAGTAGCTGGTCTTGACGCTATAAAGTAGTTATTGAAATTTTATTTGAAGGTACTTTAAAAATCGTAATTTTCCCTCGACATGTCACAGAAGCCCTTATAAATTTATATTTTAAAGGCAAAGAAGTAGAGGAAAGTATATAATTTGAGCATTATTTTAACCAAGAGATCATAGAATCATGAATGGATCTTCAAGGGCGGATCCAGGGTTTTTTTGAAGGGGGGGTCTCAGGGGTAAATTTTGTGGGCAAAGGAATCCCAGTCGCATTTTTACCACAGGAAGCCCATTTGACCTCAGGAATGAAAGGGGGGTCGCGACCCCCCCGACCCTCCCCCTGGATCCGCCCTTGATCTTAATAACGATTAGATCAGAATAAAAAGAAGAGTCGCTCTTGCTTTTGAATCTTTCGTGCCAATAGTTCGTACACTATGCCTTCACTGGAGGTTTTCTTCAATTTTTTTCTAGGAATTAGGTCGCTTGCCATCAACACATCTTTGGTAAAAAAAGCTACGATTTTACTTTTCAAAGAAAATAGAGTAGCCAGTTGTTGGAGGGGAGGCTCTTCTCTCACCAATGTCACAGGGAAATAGCTTCTAATCTAATGCGTTTACCACGCCTTGGTGGATGGTTTAATGCCTAACAGGCCTTGCGACCCAACTGATAAGGCAGCCGATAGATTGAATTAGAATTTAGAAGTTGATTTTTGAGGAGGGAGGAAAAACGGAGAACCCGGAGGAAAACCCTCGAAGCACAGGAGAGAACCAACAAACAACTCTACTCACATACTACACAGGAGAGAACCAACAAACAACTCTACTCACATA